TAAATATACTTTCCAATTAACTTCGACTTTGAGCACAATCAAGCTTATAACTGATTTTAATTAATCAGTCGAGCGATTATGCAAATGGTTAATATGAATGAGCTAATATGCTTAATATCAATTTTCATGTTGAATTGTTTCCATAGTATGCAGTTGTGCACTTTCATCGACTAAAATAACTAGATATATGACATACATATTCAGTCACCGTCTACTTTGACTTAGAGTACTGGCCATCATAGAAGCAGATAGAGAGAAAGTTAAGGTTGGTTTGTAAACTTAAGTATATATACTTCTTTCTGTTAGTTATTTTTCAGCTGGACAAATCTCCAAACCTGTATTTCCAGTTCTTGATATACGTCGTATCTATTAATTGTCGCTTAAAATATGTAGTTGTAATTTATTAGGTGGTTACACAGCTCCACAAACCACAACTTCCAAGTATATCGGTTTTCATTGGGACTCGCTTTAGGTCAACTAACTTTACTGTGACCCATTGTCACCCAAACGGACTATTTTTCAAAATTGAACTTACATTGGAAATGAACCGTTTCAAGAAAGATCTACCAATCAGTTGTTAAGATATTTGAACTGATAATAATTCAATTTATGATTACATGAGAACACTACAATAGTCTCCTCCCCACTCTTACGTTTAACTTCCATAAAATTGATATTTTGATTGTTTTAAAATGTACACTACTTACAAAACTTCATAAGGTGGTTGGGGTGTTCTCATAATCATTTGATAATATTCATCCCATAAATCCATATCATGACAAAATGTCTGGGAAGACAAATAAAAAAGTGTTAAATAATATTCACATATTTCATCATAAACTGTTGATAATGGTAATAAATGTTTAATAGTTTCTAAGCTACCACATAATTTTCATAGACTGAATTGTGGGCTGTTTTTAGTTAGATCAACATTGAGCGTCTCTCTCGTTTTAGTATGGAACCCCTCAACAATGGGCATCCACGATATCGATTGGGTTAAGAGACGGTCTCACAATATTGCAAATTGATTAAGATTAGATGTGCATGACATTTGATGCAGGGTCAGTGGTCTAGAGGGTGAACGCTTCTAGGTTCGATCCCCTCTTGATTTGTGAATGTATTCCAATGTTTGTCAGACCAAAACCAGTTCGTTATATAAACCATGGAAATTCAATCATCTCCACAAATCACATCACAAAATTATTAAAAGTTTACCATTCATGTCATGTTACCCAACAGAAAACTTAGACAAGAATATTGTGAACGTGTATTGTCATAGTATAGAAGTACTGGGAAGTGAAAATAGGAACTGGCTTTATTTCATTTTGGCATACTTTATTATCACTGGTTTGAATTAATATTTCATAGATCTTATGTATTAGTTGAATAAGTCAACAATAGTCATCGTCATTATTCACATTTCTGTTATTTCAACATATTTTAATCTTGACTTTATAAATTTCCTTTCATTATCATGATGTGTCAACTTTAACTGATCAAAACTTGCATCAGGTCCCGTGTTATTACTGATTGAATGATTTTGTTTCGATATTCTGCAGTCATATAACTGATTACTCTTTAAGAACTTCTTGACTGATAACTTACTTACTTACACCTGTTACTACTAATGGATCATAGGCCGCAGACCAGCATTCTTCAACTCACTCTGTCCTGGGCCTTCTTTTCTAGTTCCATCAAATTCTTGTTCATTTTTTCCATGTCTATTTCCATTTCCCGGCGTAATGTGTTCTTTGGTCTTCCTCTTCACCTCCTTCGGCCTTGAGGATTCCATGTGAGGACTTGTCTTGTGACGCAGTTGGGTGCTTTCCTCAATGTGTGTCCTATCAACTTCCAGTGCTTCTTCCTAATTTCTTCCCACGCTGGGATCTGGTTTGTTCTCTCAAACAGTTGGTTGTTGCTAATAGTGTCCGGCCGACTGATGACTTATGACTAACAAAATATAACGTATACTACTAATAATAACGTTAAATCAACAATATTATATGAATGTTTACAGGTTTCTTTGGTGTATAGCGTTTTCTTCAGTTTTATGTAGAAGAATTGAATCAATCACATAAATTTATATTTTTATGATTACTTACTTGTGCATATATCAAGTAAAATAATTGTTTGGAATCAAATGTAACACCAGGTAAATGTCGTAAATATTTTTCGCCTGGGGAATCATTGATCCAATCTTCGAATGCCTATTGAGAAAAATATAAGCAAAATATCAAGAGAAGTTAGCGCTAATTGAAGCTTAAGTTTAGTATTTAATAAATCACAGCTTAAGTTGAACAGTAACATGACTATCTAGTGGCATTTACTTCGAACCTATTTCTTAATCATATATCTCAAGATATTGCCAATAACTTGCTTCACATTGATACCTGAATATCACAAACTTTATTTTTCTTCCAACCCTAACTACTCTAAAATACGAATCTTCTAATAAAGATTTATTCGACTGATACTGTAGAAGGTTGATGTAAACAAGTAGTACATGTGTACACATATATCTACAATCGCCTCGGAACTAGGGTTTAAAGCTAGATGGTAAAGAGAGTCTCCAAACTCCGAAAAATGTAAGGTAGATCTAGTGTGAAACTCAAAAAAATGTCCAGAATTAAAAAATAAAAATAACACAATAATTAGTAAGTGTTTTTATGGGTCTGAACCTTCCCGTTATTTATATCAAGGACTACAATTGATCAGCCTCTTTTAGCAAACATGCATCATGAGTATTTTACTTCAATATTGCCACTAAGTCATACGCATTTTCAAGCAGTTTTGATAGTGACTAGCAGTGGAATGCAAGATGAGCACTTTCTTATTAGTTCAATATACTTTCAGACAAGTGTTGATCCTCACACTAACACTTGGATTCGGTGTCTTTATATTCAAACACAAGGCTCATTATCCACTGGTCTACTGTGATCAGATAGCTACGTACTTGTGCAACGGAGATGAGTTTTATTATATTTGTAAAGGTTTGAATCTTCCTGTTAGGGTTAGAGAAAATTCAAACCATTATAAATGAAAGAAGTCCATTGAACTTCATTACTCTTTTAATTTATATTAAGTGTTTGTTTACATAGTGAGATTTTTTTAATGCATTTTTTGTTAACATAACTACAATGTTCTATGACCCGTCAAATATCATGTGACAGAATCGCTAAGCTGAATACCGACTTATATGACCTCGTCTCTGTGCTAAACTAAATAATACGTCAACCATCACTAGCACTCTTGAGTCAAGCCTGAACCCATATCGGTCCTCTATATAGTAGCCTCTCTCCTAGCTCAGACCGTTCAGTTGAGAACACAATTATCAGCCTCCGCTATATGAATCGTATATTTCAGAATACGTAATTTATATACAAACAGACAAAACTGCATCACACCATAAAATGAAAAGTATTAAGTATATAAGATCAAGTCAAAAGTGGCTATGAGTATTGAAGACCGTAACTATTAGATTGGAAATAAATTAAGAACAGGAAATTGTAGAAGAGCAGTTAATGGGTCAAATGAAAACTTATGATAAAAGGAATATTAATATTGTTATATCCGAGCGAAGATTAAATTACAGGTAACTCCCGAAGACTATTAATGGACTAATATTCTATAAATATTCTTATTGTAAAACTATTGAATAATTAGATTATGTATATCTATGTTCTCCTTATTATAAGCTTTATTTTGATCTATAATTTATTATTGTACGATTTACGGTTCTTAAACTATGTTCAGTCTATTAATTATTATCTCCCTTGTTCACAGCCACTTTTTGGCTCATTTGTGTACACATGTTATTTTCTAATTTATGGTGTGTTGTGGTCTGTCTGTTTGATATATAAACCGAGTATGTTTGAAATAAATGATCTGCTCTGATTCGAAGTTGGTATTGTGTTCTGGACTCAAGTGGAAGGGCTCGGAAGACATAGGACTAATAAAGACGCTAAACTGCCCACACCGGTTGAACGTCACTGATTGGCCTAGTGTGATGATTCGTATAAGTCGTATTCGGATTGGTCGATAGGTCGCGTGATAGCAAACTCAGACATACCAAGGTCATAACAAATATATACGATTTAGTTACTTAATAATTATGCAATAAGAATGTATACATAAAACCTGGAAGTTATCACTCATTTATTCTTCGTTCGAACATAACAATAGCCCATTCGATATCTAATACAACAATCCTGACGTATAAGTAGTAAAAAGAGAGCTAGTTAGAGGTCAACTAAAATGAAATAATTTAAATAATATTTCTTTTGAATGGGTTTCACTTTCAACCTCTCATTCTTCCTTAGTTCAAATTCCCTTTTTCAGTAATAGTTTGGTCCTGTTTTGTTTTTATTTATTACTTTGGAATTTTAAACTGTAAGCCATTGCGATTTTCCTCTAACAATTTTTCATGAATGTTATTCAGTCGTTATTATGACCTATGGGTTTTTTTATTTTCGTCATATCTGTCAAATGGACAATTATTTCTCATAATTCTAATCCATAAATTATTTTCATCCTCCTCTTCTTTAATCGCCTGATCGTTACTCAAGCCCTTTTTGTTGTGACTTCAAGCCCGGCTAATTATCACTTGACTTACTAATTGAAATAAGGCTTACAAAACCTTAGCACCGTGTCAAACCAATGACGTTCGACCGATCTGAGCAGCCCAGCGTCCTTATTGATCCTTTGTTCACTTAGCCCGTCCAATTGAGTCCAGAACACCAATGACAACTTCCACTATAAGAATCATTTAGTTCAAGCATACTTGGTTTATATACTAGCCAAACAGACCATTTCACCCATAAAATAGGAAATAACATTTATTACAATTTCAACTCAAAAAGTGACTGTGAACGTGGAAGACTGTAATCAATAAAGTGAGTATCATTTAAGAATAGTAAATCGTATCATAATTGGCTATAGATCAAAATGAAGCTTATAATAAGAGGAATATATAGATATACATAATCTAGTTAATGAATAGTTGTACAATAAGAATATGTATATATATGTATAATATTAGTTTAATAATAGTTCTCAGAAGATACGCTTAAATTGATCTTCACTAAGATATAACACTTTTGATATCTGAAATCTCGAATCACTTTATGATACTATGTATCCTACCTTGCTGAGCATAAATTCAGTTACTCGGCTTTGGAGGTACACCATTTCTATATGTAGGTTGATGTGACAAAATGGATGAAATAAAGTTCAGATTTGCAATTTATTGATCGTTAAATTTCGTTTATTAACTATTGTGGTATAGCTCTTTGAATTTGAATCAATTAATCCCTTTGATAAATCTTGATAATGTAATAAGAAGACCAAATGATGTAGTTAAAAAGACGTTCTTATGAAATACTAAGTGATTAATTAGTTTCTTTTATTCAGAGAAGTCGAACCGAAATGTTGTCGTACAAGTTCTGGTTTATTTCATTCACCAAATATTTTTATTTGGTATCAAACAAACATTATCAAAAAAAATAAAGGTACTTACAGATCTAGCAATATCTAATCCAGATGCTTCATGAATAACTGCACGTGTGACTTTCTTGATATCATCATTGATTGATGACATAACCTATAAAATAAATAAACTAATTACTGTAAAAAACAAAGTGATACACTCTTATTTTAACATCTAGTCCCAGTAATTTCTTTATTATCTTGTGTTTTATTTATTGAGTAAAATCTTAATATGAAAAGTTGAAAGATACAATAGCATAGAGAGGTAACAGTATTTGTTACTGCCCCCAAATGCCCTAGTACAGCCGAGAGGGTGAAGAGTTCACTCTCCCTCTCGTAATTCTCTCACATAGCCACACGTATATAGCCTCTGACAGGGAAGTCCTACTCACTGCCTTCTCGTGGCATCACTGTTGTTTACGAAATTGAGAGGATGAAAAGCGAATGTCTGGCGCTTTAACCGGATTCCAAATCAATGGTACACATGGGCTCCGGTATCCTGAAGGGACAAATGGTATATGAACCAATCGTTGGTCACCGGCTTCCATGGGGCTGCATCTCCTCACGATGCTCCATTGCCTTGTGGATCAGACTTTTAGGTCGAAGGCTCGGGGTGTTGCTCTCTAAGAAAACCACCTGCTTCGGTCTGGGCACCCGGGCAGTATCACAACCCTCACACATATCGAATGAGATCTGTGTGGCGCATATGTATTTGGTGCCTCTTTGAACCAATATCTATATGTTGAAATAAATAAACATATAAATAAATAAATGAATATTTGTTGTTAATAGGTTAGTAATCTGTAAAATGAGTAACTTGAGAACAAAGTTGAGTGTTTAGTTACATCTTTTGTTTAGCTTTTCTTTAAAAAGATTAGATCGATATATAAACATGAGTTAATATTAATTGTATTAAATGCTAAATCTTATGTCGATTACCTCTTATTACGTAATTTCAGTTCCGTTTAAAACATCCGTCTAAGATTCACTAGCTTAATTTGTTAGCAGCTGATGAGAACGCGAAAAAGTGGACAGCTTCCATTTACTCAGTGGCTTCAGAATATAAACTAGCTTATGAACTAAGGTATTATTTATTTATCAGACGATTATATATCTGAAATTTTATGCACTAAATAGTGTAATGTTCGTTATAACAGTGTCAATAATCCTGATTCCAAGAATGACCAGAATCAATACAAAGTCAATCATTTCCCCGTAAATAATAGTTACATGTCTCGCTTCAAAAGCAACAAACCTACTTTTTAGCATATTTCCAATCGCAAATAAATTAAAAAAACCTGAAGCCTCAAGTATTCTGAAATGATGGAGAATGCTTTTAGCTCAGAATGAGGATGCTGTTCAGGAGGACAATAAGAGCTTCACGAATAAACCATCCAGCTCATAAAGCACACAACTTAAAAATCCACAACAATTGATCAACACTGAAATCTGTAGGATATTTACTTGATAATTGTATATTTATGTAAATTGTAAAAAGTAATCAAAATATTTAAGAAAATTTCAACAGTTGAGATCATGAGTCAATTGAAGCTAGACCATCATGCAAAACCTGGAAGCACTGGACGGCCGTTTCGTCATATTGTGGGACTCATCAGCAGTGCGCATCCACGACCCCGCCTCGCGGGACTCGAACCCAGGACCTATCAGTCTCGTGCCAGGCGCTTAACCAATTGGACCACTGAGTTGGCCGGCGTTCAACAGTATTAATGTTTAATTTCAACCAATCCACGAAGTTGCGCCACCGTACACCATTGTATTCAGTGAGTTACTACGTCACAACTGACCCGGTTGAACTCCACTGGTCACTGGTTCTCACTAGAGCTCCAGGATATATCTCTTGAAGCCAGTCACTAGTGAGCATATGTTTATTAGTATCAGAATGGGTTTTGTGGAGATTGTAGTAATTTCAATATTTGGGATCATGAATCAATTTAAAAAAACAGAAATGCTTATTTCTCCATACAAAAAGCTTTCAAAGTTATTTCAATTAAGATTGGTTTAAGATAACATAAAGTATGCCAAAAATATTTTATGAATGAATCCAATTTATTATCAACTTACATAATCAGAGAAATTAAAATAATTTTTTGATGCATTGTAAATCTGATCTTGAACACATTTCTTTTGTTCTTGATACTTACGAGTAGTTTCAGATGTCCAAACCGATTGAATTTCACCTTCTTTCAGCATAACTGATCCTTTTTTTTTTATCCATAGATTTTTTTCAAATAGTGCAAATGAAATAAATTGTAAGGAAAAGAAAAATCAAGATTAAACGTTTAAAATTGATCATCATTTTATTGATTGTTGTATTTTTCAGAAACAATGATGAAAGTTATATTGTGATGCGTGCTACTTATATCGATGTAAGTAGTATATCATGCGAGTTAAAGAACGTAATGTCTGGCAACATACGATGGGGGATGATAAAGAAAGGAAGAGCGGGAAAACAATGCAATTTGTAAGAAAACGCATGAACAATAAAATGTGAGACAATGGAAACAGGAACAGTTCAGGTTGATATGATGCATTGATATTTTGTAAACTAACGATTTACTATAGTGTTTTTCCATTTTATAAAGTAACTCTGTATAATTCGATTGTCCTCACCTGTGTTCTACTTCACTACAATATGACTATAGTTTCTCCATAAATTCCGTGATGTCTTTATCTTGTTTGGAGTCTCAATAAAACATTTATAAATAAAATTCAACGTATGAGTGACGAAAGGCTTGTATAAAAGGCTAAAATGAATAAGCCGCTTTAAGATTCAAGACAGGACGGTAAATCACATGCAAGTATGTGTAAGCTAATATGAATGAACAAGCCGTTCATCAACTCAGCATCACTTCCACTGACATTTCTGTCTTGGTGAACGTTAGAGTATATGAGAATACACCTGAAATGTAAGTAAACTGATTTTGTTTCTGGATGTACAGTTTCTCTGCAGTTTTTATCTTCTTCCTTGGCCTATTTTGATAGAGAATGAGTTAAGGGAGTGGAATAGAAACTGTATCGGATCACAGATCATAATAACGACTGGTATAAAGGAAGATTATGCATCTTCTAAACCTGATTGTCCTAAATTCATAATTCAAAGGTCAACTACCTTGTAAAAATTATAGCCGTAAGTCAGAAGGAACATTTTAAAGAATACTGAACCGTATAGGATATTTTCGTTATTTAGTCAGACTAAAGTAAGTTTAAAAGGCGGATATCAGTTAACGTTTTTCATCTCCTTAACGTGTGTTTATCACTACGAGAATAATACCAGGGAAGCTCATCATCATCCTTTACAGCTGAATGGAAGGTAAAAACACATTTATTCAATACTGAACATCAAATTCAAGTAGAGGTAACCTATATAGTCATCTTATACATGCATCTTGTAAAATAACATTTTTAAAACAATAAAAGCTGTAGGAATTAACTTTAACAGACCTAACCTCTGAATTTGGAAGAATTTTTGTATCGCTGTGACTTTTCTACAGTCTCCTACTAAATCAAATACCTATGAAATAGAACTTAATTTGTTAGATTTTTATTGTTAATAATATGCCTGGTGGCAATAAGCCATTACTGATCAACAATAAAAGACAGACATATTAGACTAAACTAAACATGAGACAATTTTATATTGTTATTAATTCTATCTGTATCTTAATTTGGGTTCACTTGTTGACTGCTTTTTCCTGTCAGTAAACTGAATTCTGGTCTATTTATAGTTTGATCTTAGGTCAGATATTTGGGTCGAATGTATCATATGAATCTAGTATGATAATATACTGTCTACAGTTAGTAGTCTAAACAACTGAATTCTTAATCTATTATAACACCCATATTTACTCATCTAGTATCAAGGATGAATCAAGTGAGTAATCAATCAATCAATCAATCAATTGTAGTGACCTACTTTTATCAAGAGAACGCTATCGGCGTAATGGAGACAATTATTATTATAACCAATTGTACTAGGGATTGTTTTACCGTACTTGTTCGTGTAACTGTACCAAAATACATACATTCTTCAGTTGTTTGTGTCCTTGCACGAACTTCTGTTCGCTCAGTAGTTCCATTTGTACCCCTTGGCACGATCTCGATATTCTCTCGATACCACGAGATTGACAACAAATACATCTCGACTACAGCCATCAACTGCCTTATGATATTTGGTCTACGGGGGGGGGGATCTAACCAGTTAACTAACACGTAGTCTTCTTGTAGTGGTGATCATAATCAAACGTGACTCGACGCCACACTACCCAATCAGTATTTTGCATTAACTCAACAGAATTTTTATTTGACACTAAAAGTTGATAAGTTTTGTTAACTGACTCAAAACTAAGAAATTGGTATTAGTTTGATATTCAATAAGAAAATTTATGATAAGAATAGCTAAATGAAAAAAAAGTATCTACTTTTAATTGTTTGGGAGAATCGAAACATATCATCTGCTTGTACTCATAGGGCATCTCAAGGAAAATCGATATGATAAACAAGATTCATTTTTAGGAGTCGATTATGAAAATATTAAAGTTCTTTACTCAAATGCTAATGAGCCATATGCACTTTATTCAACTTGCCAATTACAATCATCTCTTGGTTTCTTTACTTATGATGACAGTTGAGGCAAGCAAATAAGAAGTAGATCTATCTGAATTGGGAATTCACGAAACGATACAATTTTATATGTTATATCATTAATAAATTTTATAGAACTAACCATATTCCCCAACTAATATACCAATAGCAGTACCAATCAAAGATCCTAAACCACCAAAATTAAAAGCGGCTGGTAAATTATGATGAAATATTGGTAATTGAAGCATTCCAGGTGGAATAAATACTTCATCTAATTGTAAATATAAAGCTACATGTGAATCATATACCATAACATCTCGTGAACTCCAATTTTCTTCACTTGTTTCTGTAACACCAGAAAGTAGACGATTATACACTCCACGAATATATTGAATAGCTGAGAATAGATTGTTTAAGTAATTATATGAAGTCCTCAGCTAGAAAAATTAGTAAAAGATACATTCTCTATAATTATTTATACAAAAATTAGTGTAATATTAGGATAATATGAAAAGAACTATAAAAATAATCGTCTTATAATTGTATACCGTTATACCACTTTACGCCAAATTCGTAATGGACAACACCGGGTATCATGCGGCTAGGATAAAGGAACGAGAATGGTGACAAATTTGCAAACTCATGTGCATTCAACAAAATGGTTACACTATTCCTACACAAATACATATACAAAGCTACATGTGTCTCACTGGATCACACCACGAAGAACCAGATAAATAATATTTGCATCAGGAAAAATTCGCAAGGTTAATGGAAGACCTGAGAACCAAGAGAGTTTACTGACATAGTTTCAGATTACCACCTGGTTGTGGCCAAGATGAAACTGAAGCTAAAGAAACACTGGACAGCTGGGGAAACAGCAGTAAAAGATTCAAGAACAAAAGATAAGGAGACAGCAATTAACAACAGCTGGACAATAACAGAGAAAATCAAGGCTGAATATACAGAAGAAACTAAGCAAGTGAAGATTAACAAGCAGAAATACGTGGAAGACTTAGCGACGACAGTGGAAAAGACCGCAAGAGAAGTAAATATGAGACAACTATATGACATAACGGGAAAACTGGTAAAGAAATACAGTAAACCAAAGAGACCAGTCAAGGACAATGAAGGCAAGACGATCAATGAGATTCAAGAACAGAGAAACAGATGAGTGGAACAGTTCGAAGAACTCCTGAATAGGCATCTCGATCGAATCACCTGGATATCGATGCTGTACACACAGACCTTCCCATTGATATCACTCCACCAACGATCAAACAAATCAAGAGTTGGAAATCAGAAGGACCTGACTGTTGGTGTGGTCCAGAAAACTCGCAAAAGCCAAGAAAGGCCCAGTAAACACTAGGAAGCATTTTATCCAGTCAGCGTTCACTAGAAGTTTAGCCAGAATATCAAGAAAGTGAAAAGTCACATGTAGAGTTTCTGATTGGTTGATTACTATACTGCTACTACGTTTAGTAGCATTCCATAATTTTCGGGGAACCCAAGAACATCTAAAATACTATCAAAACCCTATGTTTTATGTACTAGAACAGACATTTGGGGCAAAGTGCTTCTCGCATATTTTGCGCTTTTACTCTCACATTCAGGTCGCTGTGTAGTTCTGGCTTAAGTGTTACGAGTATAGCTTAGGAACCGAATATAGCATTTAATCAGAAAGACTTATCACTGACAGCATACCAAATGAAGCATTCAAGTCGGACATAGAAAAAAATGAAAACATGCTTCACGTCCTATTCAAGAAGACTTAGGAGGAAGAACAAGTGTCGATGAACTAGAAAGAACGATACCTCATCAAGATACCAAAGAAAGGAGATCTGAGCAAATGTGAGAACTACGGAAACCAGAGGCATTATACTACTGTCAGTCTCAGAAAATGTTTTCGACAGAGCGTTTCTGAACAGGATGAAGCATCAAGTAGATGCCCAAGATCCAGATCAACACACCGGAGTTCGTAAACATCAGTCGTGTACAGATCAAATCACGACACTACGAATCATTATTGAGCAATGAATTGAATGAAACTCATCACTATACATTAAATTCGTAGACTATGAGAAGCATTTAACAATGTGGACAGTGAGGACTTTATGTAACCTTATTTGACACTATCATATAGATGAGAAGATTGCCAAAATCATCCGGAATTCATATGACGGATTACAGTGCCAGGTGGTGCATGGAGGACAGGTGATAGATGAATTGCAATTGAGGACCGGAGTCAGACAAGGCTGCTTACTCTCTCTCTTCCTCTTTCTTCTGGTGATTGACTGTATTCCAAAAACTTTGACATGTGAGGAAAAGCAAGATTTTTTTCCACGTGATGGGGTTGCCGGCCCCATGCTCAACTCCTCCTTTTTCCGGTCTTGAGACCGGCAGTAATTAGAAGAGTCACAGGCTGAGTTTGGATAAGACACACATTGAGAAAATTATCAAGCTGCATCATGAGGCAAGCGGTAACTTGGAATCCTAAAGGGAATTGGGAGAGAAGAAGACTAAACAACACACTATGTCGGGAATTGGAAGCAGACATCAAACGAATGAACAGAATTTGGAAACAACTAGAAAGGATCGCTCAGAACAGATTTGGATGGAGAATGCTGTTAGGCTGCCTGTACTCCTTCACAAGAGTTAACAGACATAAGTAAGTTTGTTACATCACTTTTAACACTAATTTAATGGAAATTATTTGCCTCTGAATTTTATGAAATAGTTCTGTTTATTTGGAGTGAAACATGTAACACTTTATTTAGTAAATCTAAGTATTCCATCTAGTTAGTGTTTCGAAGTGATTAAATGTCAAATTCAAAGATATTTGTAATAATAGTTAGGATACATAATAGAATTGCTACTTATACTTAGTCCTTAAAGTATATATTTGAAATATAGAATCAACAAAGTACTGTGCGAATATCATAAATGGTATGATAATGAATGACTAGTTAGGTTATATGAAGATATAATGATGGAATATTACTTAATTTTTGATATTTAAACTATGGAGAGATTGTTCACTCGTTGAATTCAATTTTTTCCGAATGGTAAACCTCTATGTATTAGACATTTCAATAATTCTAACTTGAAACAAATGGAACGTTGACATTTGAAGTTATTATTGCGGTTAGCGTTCCACTATCCCAGCTCAATAATTTAAATGTGGAAGGGAAGCTTCACAATGAAAAATAATAAGATTTTGGGAAATAACTAAAAAAAAGGTAGAATTTCTAGAAGCAACATATTTTGGTCAGTTACTAGATATTGATCTAATTCATAACATGATTATGGGTCAACTAGACGGTCTACGAAGTTCACAGGTATGGGTAAAACATAGCTATGAAGAAAATTAATTATACACGATTTTTCTTATGGAATAACTGAACAAGAATTTCTCTTCTATTCCAAGTAGATGATTACGATGGACTACAGGAAGATATTTGCAGCTTTTCAACTAAACCATACATTTTAAAGAACTGTACACTATCAAAATTGTTAGGTGATTATAGATGATAAACAGAAAACTTCTCTTGACCCAGGTTCCATCATAGTCGGTACTCTTAAGCAAGACATGTCTGGAGTCTTGAGGAGACTCATCCTGCAGACTACCTCTACTCGAAAGATAATGCATTTTGAATCACTTATCCCGTTGACAACACTGCAAAAATGAGCTCTTGAATTCGATTAGCACTAAGGACTAGACGAACACAACATTGATTGATATTCAGTAATTAATCAACGTAGCCATCTACAATATTATTTTATGCGTTTTAATAGACTGACCTGCTTATCATTAATAATTACTGTGCCTAAATTACATAAGTCAAAAGTAAGAATGATTGAATTTGGAATGCATCTCGCATAAACATTTAGGAATTTTCAGTCTGTTACAGCTTTGTGTGTGAAAGATAGTTCAAAGTACAGATAGAGATCATATGAAGAGCCACTGATGAATAAGAAATAATAAACAATTTTTTAACGCATGCATGGAAATTATTCAAGTTGAAATGAAATGTAGAAAGACCTCTAATATCTCGTAGTCAATACAGTATAGTTTGACTACTGAGCTTGAGTAATAACAGTGTCTGTTTTTATTTATTTATTTATTTCAACACATAGATATTGGTACAAAGAGGCACCATATACATATGAGCCACACAAATCTCATTCGATTTGTGTGAGAGCTGTGATACTGCCCGAGTGCCCAAACCGAAGCAGGTGGTTTTCTTAGAGAGCCACTCCCCGAGTCTTCAACCTGAAGGTCTGATCCACAAGGCAGTGGAACATTGTAAGGAGATGCAGTCCCATGGAAGCCGGTGACCAACGATTGGTTCATACACCATTTGTTTCCTTATGATACTGAAGCCCATGTGCACCATTGATTTGGGATCCGGTTAAAGCGCCGGACATTCGCTTTTCATCCTCTCAATTTCGTAAACAACACCTCCGCTGCGAGAAGGTAGTGAGTAGGACTTCCGTGTCAGAGGCTATATACGCGTGGCCATGTGAGAGTATTTGGAGAGGGAGAGCGGACTTTCCCCACTCTCGGCCTTACCAAGGCATTTGGGGGCTTATATGGAAATATATTAGTTACAGTTAGTGTTTTGGACACATAAATTTTTTAGTTTCAGTTCATTCCTAAGAGAGCGAGACGTTTATCTAATATCTTCTGTAATATTTATATCATTCCTGTTATGTATGACTACATATATTATGAATCTTTTCTAGATCAACACGGTTTATTTTGCATTAAACTAGTTCATACATTTCAAGTAATCTTCATTAGAAGATTATAATAAGCTTACCGTTCGATAGGCATAATTTAATTTCTTATCATCGCGCATAATTTCTGGAACTTTGAATAAAATTTTCATTTTGTTAATCTACATAAAGATAAACATTGATGAATTCAATTTTAGTATAGTTATTAAAGTAGAAAAATTTTGTATCAGATAGAATTTACTTTAGAAAGAGTAAGCGTTTCATATAATTTACTTGGATACTATGTTATATCCACTGTATGATAAAAATCTATTATTTTGATCTTAAGTGATTCAATGGATAGTGGCTAGCTGTGGAATCCAGGACACGCGTTTCATTCTATTTGGGACTCGTCAGCTGGATGTACATTCATCTCAGAGTTGATGTTCACTCTGGGACACGAACCCATTATCCATCATTGCTTACAAATAACTTGTGAATTTAGGTAATGTCGAGGCATACACACAGTATCCACATATGCCAATAACAGACTGATCAATTGCAGTGTTAAACCTCAATGGGAAGATACAAGCCAAACAATACCAAGTGAATTTTAAGTGATTAAAGTTTGAAACAGACTGATCTTATTCTTATTGAGCATCTGCCTAAAATTAAACTTACCAGTATATCGTAAATTTGAATGAGCAGTTTGTACCAGCGTTTTTTCGATGTAAACAGATTAGAAGTTAAACAAAAACATAACGATTCAATGTGATATTTTTCAGCATTTTAGTTATTCTATATTTTTATAGATTGAATCATGAACTAACCTTAATTAGACCATCATTGGAAATCTATTATGGGTCTTCTCATCAGTATGTATCCACAACGCTGTGTCTGGGAATTAAGCCAAGAACATTCAGTCTCATACGTGGACACTTAAGCCCAACATTTATGTGCCTGACTAATTAACAGCTTTTATGTATGCATATGACTGCTTGTGTGTCTGTTTGAATGTTTCATTGTATTAAATTTATGAACGATATTTTGTTCAATTACTCCTTTCAAAAAATGCTCATATTATTCACATATTTACATACTTCACTCGTTTTATCTTAAGTATTTAGTCTACTGTGATATGGTGTGTCTAAAATACATTCATCTCCAAATACTTCGTATTGGACATTTTGATTTCGTATAGTCAGATGTATTTCATTATGAAATGGGAGTATTCGAAGAAGTATACGAAATGAACATGGATCTATAGAAGTTTGATTTTGATTTCTAGAGACCTTACAGAACAGTTTATTAAGATACGTTAGCCTGACACTCAAAGTAACAAATTGATTGGTATGAATAAAGGTATCCTTCACAAAGTTATTTATAAAGTTAATACTAGGTTGGATTTACGTTTTTTATTTTGAGAAATGTTGATTGAGATGTCAAATAAGAGTGTAATTGGTAAGCAGACTATTAGTAGTTAAGTGAATAGTTTATTAGAAAGGAACCCGTTCCAAATTCAGCTCTTCTTACTAGTTTACCTATATATATATTCAACTGCCCTATTGTTTGATGTAATTTCTGATGTAAATGGGCTCAAAATGACCATTGCTTTCAAACATGATTGATTGTGTATGTTTTTCTTTCTAAATCTAATTTCTTTTATCATCTTCAATGATCTTTTTCTCTTATGATGGATATTAATAATATTTTGTTCTATTCTAATGAATTACTTTCGACATCTCAACTTCACTTGTACGTTTACAATCTCTTCCCCTTGGTTCTGTTGGGGTAATCCAGAAAATTGCTTGCAAAAGACAAGCAAGCATCAGGAAATACTAAGAAGCATTTCATTCAATCAGCGCTCACTTGAAGTCTTAGCCAAAAATTCAAGGAAGCGAAACGTCACATACAGAGGCTCTGATTGATTGGCAGCTACATTGCTACTATGTTTAGTAGCATTCAAGAATCTTCTAGCAACCCAAGGACATTTAAAATATTATAAATAACCCTGTATTTTCTGTATTAAAATGAACCTTGAAGTAAACTACTTCTCGCATAATTTGAGTCTTTTCTCTCGTTGTTGAGGTCACTGTATAGTTCTAACTTGGGGGTTATAGAATAGCTTAGGAGACGAATATAGTGTTTAATCCGCAAGACTTATAAAAAATTATCTCATCCCCAATAAGAAATGAGTTTTGAACAAGGTGATAAAATACTGAAGTTTAATAATAATAATAATAATAATAATAATAATAATAATAATAATAATCATGATGATCTATTCTCGTATGTCTGGTAAAACCAAGGTATGGTTGACTAATGTGTATAAAAACAAATATCTATTTATATTTTGACATACATTTTAATTTTGTGGATTATATTTTTGACTAACCCTAGTTTAACAACATTTGAAAACTGGGAAGCATCGGAAAGCTATTTAAGTTTTGTATAGGATACTTCTATAACCCTAACGAACGTTCCAGGTTCAATCTTCGTTGAGATCGTGTATGTGTACTACTCAACAGTCCCGTACTGGGACAGAACAGATATACAGCACTTTCTGCTTTTCAATGGTTGTTTCATTGATATCAATTCGTAATGTAAAGAATGAATTGTAACAATCTCCACAAAATTTTTGTAATTATGAATACAATTTAATTAATTAAAATATTTTGTAATTGTTGTATCCCGATAAGAATAATAAACGGTAACAATCGGGATCCATTTATAGACCAATAATATTATGAGTATATTTTTATCGTGTAATTGTTATGTAACTAAACTGTTTCATATTCATGTGACTCTTATTATGAGCTTTATTTTGACCTATGAACTATTATTGTACGATTTACCATTCATGAACTATTCGCTGTTTGTTAATCTCTACCTCCTTCATTCACAGCCACATCTGGCTAATTCTTGTACAAATGTTGTTTCCTATTTTATGGTACATTGTTGTCGGTTTGATTGGTATATAAACTCACTATGTTTGAAATATAATGATTCATATCTCAGAGGCTGAGACTTGTGTTCTGGACTTAACTGGTTGGGCTAGACAGGGAAGCGGGGCTAATCAGAACTCTAGACCGTTCTTACGTGTTTACGCGTCTTTGGTTCGATTGATGAAATGCTGCCGTCTAATCTGCAGTCCATAAGACACAATAGTAGTTTAAATCTTCAAATGGTAAAATATTATTCATTTTATTAATACTTTTAAACATCCCTCATTTTATTCAATATAATAAAGGGGTTTAAAATCAAAAAGAATAACTTGCTTACTCTTTCATTCACATCTTTTCTAGTCTGTTCATCCATCCATTGAATTTGTTTTAAATGATTTTTTAAACTAGTTTTTAAATAGGTTGTCATTTGTTTCACCTGAAAACAAACAAAAAAGAAACATATTTGTACATGTATATAAGTTTTAAAAGTCACCAAAACACTACTAGATAACTTCATTCATTTGAAAATGATGATGGTCAATTGAAGCTAGACCACCATGGAAAACCTGGAAGCATTGGACGGCCGTTTCGTCCTACTGTGAGACTCCTCAGTGGCAGTACGCATCCACGACCCTGCCTCGTGGGATCCAAACTCAAGACCTACCAGTTTCGCGCCAGGCTTTTAGGTTTTCCATGATGGTCTAGCTTCAATTGATTCATGATCTCAACTGTTGAAATTACTACAATCTCCACAAAACCCATTCTAATACTAACAAACATATGCTCACTAGTGACTGGCTTCAAGAGATATATCCTGGAGTTCTAGTGAGAAGCAATTACCAGTGAAGTTCAACCGGGTCAGTTGTGAGGTAGTAACTCACTGAATACAATGGTGTTCAGTGGCGCAACTTCGTGGATTGGTTGAAATTAGACATTAACACCGTTGGATGCCGGCCAATTCAGTGGTCCAGTTGGTTAAGCGCCTGGCAGGAGACTGGTAGGTCTTGAGTTCGAGTCCCACGAGGCGAGGTCGTGGATGCTCACTGCTGAGGAGTCCCACGATAGAACGAAACGGCCGTCCAATGCTTCCGGGTTTTGCATGATAGTCTAGTTTCAAATGACTCATGATCTCAACTGTTGAAATTACTATAATATCCACAAAATCCCTTCTGATATTAATTGTCTATGGGTTACTAATAATATGAAATATATTTTAACATTTAATTACTATTGAAACACTAAAAGATGGTAGATTATCATAAAAACTCAAGATCAGTTTATTGATACAAAGAGATTTAATATTATGATAAAAGCTTATTCCTTAAGAGGAATGCGCCTATTTTGACCTGCATATGTCATTGTGAATAGGAAAACTGAAGTTTAAAAGTGATACAATCAATTCACTTTTATTCATTATTCATAGTATAACTCTATACCAAAGTGAACAACAATAACAGATAAGTTTCTGTTCTGCAAGTTAATGTATTATACGATGTAAATATTTTAAATGTAATTTCATCTAACTATTGTTCATTATGTAAATAATTTGATTCATTTATCTTAAAACAATTAGTCCCTTATCTCTTCTTACCCCATTTCCTGTCTAGTTGACCTTTTAATTTTTTATATATAAATGCTCTTAACAAGTATATGATGTGTGATCAGATTGTTTGAAATGTATTGCGCTAATATATCATCATCACATAGTTCTGATAATCTTTGTCTTCTTATTACATGATCATCATTTATCTTAGTTTATAAGATAAGTATTGAATATTGAAACAATATAGAATTTCTCTTTCTACTTAACGGAACCCAGCTATAGAAGTTAGTTAGCTGTCCATTCCATGTTTGTTTTCTGAAGATTGATCGTTATATATGTGAGTATATTGATTCCAACAACATAGATCTAGGTCTGCCGACTGAACACTTGAAAGAATTATTGTTACGCTGTACCTTTAATGTCCAGTTTAGTTTCAATAATGAAATATATAGACAGAGGGATGGGATCGCAATGGGGTCTCCATTGGGTCCGATTTTAGCAGATTGCTTCATGGCAAAACTAGAAAACGACCAACTAAGCTCAATGATCAGTCAATTTCACCTGTACGTTAGATATATGGACGACACGTTCATCGTTTGTGACAATAATATTGATTTAAAGGATATTTTAAACACCTTTAACTCATGCCACCCTTCTATAGACTTCACGTTAAAAAGGGAACGGGACCAATCAATTCCTTTTCTCGATGTACGTCTGATGAGAAGTAGTAATGGTTCTTTAAAACGATCAATATAGAATTTCTCAATAATTTAAATAAAGTATCCAATTGATTTAATCCAATTATTAATATTACTCATAATGAATAATGATTTAAATATGCTCAAACATGAAAAATGAAAATTAAGAAAGAAAAGAAGCAAATAAACAAATGAATTCACCATATTATATTTACCTCATTTTCTGTTTCATTATGTATATGTTTTTCAGTATAAATTGCACCTAATACAGTATCAAATAATTCATGTGTTACAAAAAAACATTCCAAATCCATTATATGTTCAGTTTGATAATTATAAGATAAATGTAACATATAATATTCATATGATAAATGCCATGTATATGTATCTAGAACATTCCATAACATGTAGTTATTCATTATTCTATAAAATGAAACAAAACATATATCATAGGTGTCATTACCAAGGTTTGATTTGATAATTTCGAATAAATTGAGCATTGGGTTGATTGTTATAAATAAAAATAATATATTTGTAATATCCCAATGAGTAGAAAATTGGATTTTCTGACGTTTCGTGACTTAGTGTAAGTCACTTCTTCAGAGAACAAATAACCAAAACATATATCATATAAATTTCTTTAAATAATGTGGGGTTTTTTCTTTTTTAATATTCTGATGTTAAATATGATTAATTGACCGATAAATCAGTGTTAGGATGTAATAACCCACCTATAAGAGTTTAGTTTGTTTGTTGATTTTTCATTTGTTCTCAAAGTGCATCTGAAGTCATGAAGGTAACGAAATCTAGTAAAATATGTAAAGCATCGGATGGTGAATCTGTGATCTAAAGATTAAGTGTTCACACACGAGATTAAAGATTCCTGGTTCGATCTCCTTTGGTGAAACCGTGAATACGAACTCCCGAAAAATATGAGATTGGAAAGAACAACTATTCAATGCTTTTTGATTTTTACTGGGAGTCTAGATGAGATTAGCACGTGGTTTATACACATAGTTCCCTTTATTATCTTAAAGAAAGAGAGAATCGTTGTTCTTGCTCACGTGAGTTATGTTAAAAAAGGTCTACAATCTCCACAAACCCCCTATAGTGATGAAAATAACCATACTCATATTATTCAAACCCTTTTCACCCAGTATCATAGTTTCAGAAGTTACCATTGAGAAAGTGAATGACTTACATTCTCAGAAGTTATTGAATAATAATCGAAAACTCAGAATAACTTCAAACTAATCATCTCATAACAACAAACTTTTAGGGTTGTTCACTACAATCTTAAGTGATTATGATTTACTACAGAAATTTAAACTTTTGAAATACAATATGTATTACAGTTAAGTGTAATTTTTGAAAGTGTACCAAATAGACAACATTTTAGATTAAAATCAAGTCATCTTTGAACACAGAAGAAAATAACAAAGAATGCAAATATGGAGAGGGAAATTTCATTGCTTCATAGTAAACTTAGTTGTTTCTCCATTATATACATACATAGTCTTTCTTCTAAGTTTCAAGAGGACAAGAACATAGATTTGAGCAGAATAACAAGAATGAATTTTATGACGTTGGGTTCACATCAGCTGCCTGAGATCTGTAATATTTAAAAATTATACTAACAAATTGATTTGAAATGAATTACATAAATGAGACTAATTGGAAGTTGTTTTGCGCAAATCAGTATGGTACTGCAAGGATGTTAATAAATTTACGAGATTAAACAAAATATTGCCATCTCTGTATTATGTAGAAGAATCTTTTACAGCAGTAATAGTAACAAAAGATGTTTTGAGTTCCATATGTTCTACAATTGAAGAACATATGGAATTCAAAACAACTTTTAATCAATACCAAAATAAGGATCTTCAATACCAACGTCAAGGCTGTTCTACTGTATGGAGCTGAAACTTGGAGAACTACAACAACCACCATCAAGAAGGTACAAGTATTTATAAATAGCTGTCTTCGCAAGATACTCAACATCCATTGGTCGGATACTATCAGCAACAGCTTTCTGTGGGAGAGAACAAATCAGCTTCCAGCTGAAGAAGAAATTAGGAAAAGACAGTGGAAATGGATAAGACATACATTACAAAAATCGTCAAACTGCATCACGAGACAAGCCCTAACTTGTAATCCTGAGGGGAAACGGAAAAAAGGAGGACCAAAGAACACATAACGTCGGGAAGTAGAATCACATATGAAAAAGATGAATAACAACTGGAAGGAGCTGGAAAGGATTTCCCAGGACAAGGTTGGATGGATAATGCTGGTGAGTGGTTTATGCTCCTTCACGAGGAGTAACAGGCGTAATTAAGTAATTAAGTAGGCAAATCAGACAGCATCTAACTATTGAGTTGTTTTGCCATCTTAATGACTCTATTCTCTTGATTGGAAATTATGACCTTCAGTACATATATCTCTTATATTCATGTCCTTACACATTTACACTTTTACTTCTAATGTATTCTTGGGTGTTATACACCTATTATTTTATTCAGTGACTGCTCCTCTGTCATACTATGGATTATCTATTCTAGTTATTATTATATTAATAATATTTTGAGTAGACACATTCACATTTCTTATTTCTTCGTCTACTTGCTAAAGTAGATATATGAAATAATAAACATCCGAACCATCAGTATCCTACTTTTTCAAATCCAACTTGTTATCAACCGATTCTATCGACAGAGCATATAAATAATTAGGATCTATATTTCATCTATATCATTAACAATCAAATCATACTGAAATTAAACAATGAGTATAGAATTAATATTATTAATTGAAAGTAAGATTTGCGTTGTTTGAACATACATATTTATGTAAAGTTATAGTATCTCTAAAGTTAACTACAACAGTTTATAGTTACATGATCAATCAAATAAGAATCAAATATCTAAAATGTATTTTATTTGCATCAGTTTACTGTATTTGTAATATAAAACTCAAAAAATTATACATTTTGAGATGTCTATAAATAAATTGATTATTTTTTTATGTTGTCAAGTTATATAATATAACCGTTATGATGAATATATATGGTAGATAATTACTCTATTATTGATCATCACTGACATCACTGTTTACGAAAATGAGGGGACGAGAAGCTTTAACTGGATTCCAAACCAATGGTACACATGGGCTCCAGTATCCTGAGGGAACAAATGGCATATGAACCAATCGTTGGTCATCGGCTTCCATGGGACTGCATCTCCTCACGATGCTCCACTGCCTTGTGGATTAGATCTTTAGGTCGAAGGGAGTGGCCCGCTAATTAAACCACCTGCTTCGGTTTGGGCACCCGTGCAGTATCCCAGCTCTCACAGAAATCGAATGATTTATGTGGCGCATATGTATTTGGTGCCCCCTTGTACCAATGTTTACGTGTTTAAATAAATAACTAATAATAAATGTTTATTGTTTATACTGGATGAAAACGCATAACCATTTATTGTTTATGTGAATAATTTATCTGAAATTTCTGTAAGAGGTGTCGTCAAATAGTGAAGATAAACATGCTTTTGGTAAACTGAAGATGAGAAATAGAAAAATATTTATATTCATGGATAAAATGAAACATAGACTGGTAACTGTTAGCATGATTTATTGTCGAATTGTTGTTACACTAGAGTCAAGAACTGAAACTTATCACTCCACAACTCTCATCACACAAACAACTATTTCACTTGAATGATTCAGTTTGTATCTGTAGAATTCGTAAGGTAGATGTGGCTTATGACCATGTTTAATAAGATGCATAGTGGTGTCATAATTGTATCATATAGACAAAAATAATATTGGTAATTTTGTGGCTTCGGTGGTTGTTTTCTTGTAAATTAGTAATTAGAGTTTAAACAACCTCGTATTTTCCAATGACTTTTGTTAACCGCGTATTGTCGTAAATGATCTTGATGTGACCATTAAAATAACTGGCTCATAATTGAAATGAGGTCCGTTTAATTGGTAGATCAAAATCAATACTTGAGGTAAAAGTCATGACAATATCACGAAAACGATATGACGTAAAATCATGCAGAGAATGATCCCAATGATTGTTGCAAAATTTTATATACTACTTAATTATTGTTATAGTAATTCACTTGGTATTGTCTTATATTGTCTACATTGTTATAGTAGTTAATTTAAATAAGACAAAATTGTGTGGTTTTCTGGTTGATCAGTACTTAAAATACACATAATAAACCATTTGTAAAAGGTTGATGGTAGCTTCAAATACCTTAGGGTACATGTTATTTACTACTTGTAACCACACAGACACGTGCTTGATGAAAGGAATAAACTTGGGAAAAATGTTTATAACTCTACAGAAGTATGTTTTGTAACGACAGATGATTTCGTCTCTATTAGCCATATCCAGAACCACTGGTATGGGGGTAGAGTCAATGGAATTTTATTGAAATCACTAACCAATCTAGGTTAATTAACTATTGAAAATGTTAAAGCACTGGACTGAACATTCGACAGTCCTTACAAATTCCTAAGATATTAGAAAACGGCTGTGTTATATTTCGAAGTGGTTGAGGTTAAGTACATACACTAGTGGGTTCTTCCCCAGTGATCTTAAGGTCCTGTGTTCGGCCCATGATGCAATCCAGGATTTACACTATTAAAAAAATCCCATAATAGAACTCAAACAGCTGTCCATCAATTACTAGAATACAGTGATCATTTAACTACGGTCATTCACGGATGTATATTGTGAATTACAAGCATTTATACAGAACAGTTTTACTAAATTATTTATTGAGGTAGATCATTATTCTGTCAACTAATTTTCTGTACTATATAACACAGGAGGAAGAGCCTAAATAGCAGCCAAATTATCCTAAGACTGTTGAAAATACAGTTATTTTACCGATACAGTCAATTGAAATATTTACTTTTATTAACGTTTTAAAGCACTTATTTATCACTGTTATATCTTAAAAGTTGATTTCTTGATATACCGCGTATAACAGAGCACTAGAACACCAAAACCCTTCCAAGTTGAAATAATAAGATAGAAGACTGATGAAAGGAATATTATTCCAAGCAGTGTCAATTATAGTACAAAATTGTCAGGTATTAATAGTTTTTAGTGATAACGAAATCATCATTACAGTCCTCTAATCCGCATACAGGGGGCTATTGGCATTATGAAATCGGGAAGCTACATGTAGGAATTCTAGAATATTCTCCCGAAAGGTGATTGAATGGAACGTCTTCGGCTCCTTCTGATCCTCTTACAGCTTCCTCGAGTTCACCAGTGGTCCGTCGTCACAATTACCATTTAAGTCACCTTTTGTTTAACTCAGTACTTTTTAGTAACTGAATAAACTATCATACTGATTATTTAAAATTCTTTTTGTTCTAATTTAATAGACATTAATAATCAAATA